TGCGGATAGAGGGTGTCAAGTGGTCAGCGCAACCAATCCCCAAGGCCGTTAATTTCGGTTTTCTAGACCGGAGCCGCTATTTCGTTGAAATAGATCCTTAATTATCCTCACGAGGCTGAATGGACCCAGTTCCAGACCCACTACTTCTCAGAAAATCTGGTAGCGCCGGGAATCGAANCGTAAGTTATGCAGTATATCACGAACGATCGAAAGTCTTTTGTTTCAGTATATCGTACCTATCTTGTGAGTACTGATTTTTATGCGAATATGTGTAGTGTAATATGTTATATAAGAGAAATAGTTTAAACTCTATTATTTCTATGTATAGATCGTGTTAGATGGCGTTAAACTTCGGCCTCGACGTATCATTCGATTATATGTATGACTAGAAAGGAGCACAGAACAAAACACGTGGAACTAATAGTAGAAAGCATATATTTAATAATTGATGATGAAGTTGTCGACAACAGCCCTGACAGAGCCCAAACGTCCACCCACGAGACAACACGGAGATTCTCCATGTACCATATGACAACAACATCTCGATGACAGTCGCGCTACACCCAACTTGCAGCCTGAATAAATGGGAGATAACACATGTGAATATACAAGATTTCATAACAACATACCCACCTAGGTAGGAACCAGACCAGAGAGACCAGTATACTAGCGAAATAACTAATATATACATATATTTAATCTTAATTTTGACCATATTTTAACCTTCAACTAGATATACAGTAATTTAATTAATTATTTCTAATACCAACATAATTGGACTAAAAGTAAATAATACCAAGAGTTTTGTTACCAAGCATAATATCACAAGTTATACAGCCATATCCACAGTACGGGTCCGTATGAAAGAACAGATTCAACACCTAAGCACAAAGATTACACCTGATGATGACCTAATAAAGGTCGAAACGTGTCATATTTTAAGGTTTAATATTTTAATGTAAATTATCTATATTTATATATTTTTATAAGAAACTGTTGTGTCGACGGATGTCAAAAAAATACTCGAAGTACATCACACGAAGCTGGATGCAACACATGAAGATAAATTGTGGAAGGTTGCTACATTATAAATACTCATATTTTTAACTTTAGTGGAATAAACTCTCTAAAATAATTTTCTATCAGATTGCTCGTAAGATCAGACACGGTATTTCAATACAAATAACGAAATTTAAAACTGAAAAGTCGTAAAAATTCTTTCTGAAATTACTTTGCCTAGTGAGCATTTATCAATATTTTATCATCATAATTCATTTTACAGAGTACACAATACTTTAACGGGAGTATTATAACTTAAATACTGAAAAGTGTGAATCATGCAATTAGTGCTCAACTGAAATATACAGTTTTGATCCTTAAATATTCACTCATCTTCATTCATTGAGGGGCAGCTGGCTGTATAGGGAGTTCCATGGATGAATGTTGAAAATATAATTGAGAGCTTTTCGCTTACATTAAATTAGATAATATTGCCAGCCCAGTTACCACCAACCCTTCAAGCAACACGCTGTATCTTGTGTTCAGTTAACAGATCAACACTGCTCAGCGAGGGAGTAGTTAGTTTTGGCGTAAAGAAAATAATAAAAATAAAGTAAACGTATCTCTGTAACAGGCCATGGAGGCCCCATGGGGTTGTAAGATGTTGAAGCTCCCACATTTTCTAGGCAATCGGCTCACAGATGGCGGTGAGCTTGTCAGCCTTATGCGCCGGCCGCCCTTTACCCCCAAGAATATTCCTAGTACTCATTTCTGTTAGAGGCTGAGTCGACCCCAGGACCATAGTGCGGCTGGAAGGATTAGGTCAATTGAAAAAATCCACCTCATCGGGATTCGATCCTGCGACCTTCCGGCTTGTAGCACAGTGCCTCAACCAACTACGTTACTGCATGCCCCTAAAGAAAACAATAAATGAGACACATATTGGAAAACAATTTGNTTTCGCCTGCGGATTTCTTAAAATTTTCCTTCTACCCTTAAGATGGAGGCGATACGTTCCTCCGAAACGTCGGTTAACACCACATATACACGGTGCCAAATCCCAGAAGACTGCGTTCTTCAAGACTCAACTTAGTAGTCACCCTTTTTCTCCAGCTAGTTTTCCCAAAATCATGCCCTTCAGTTCCTTAACCAAAATGTTATGGGTTATATATATTATTTTTCTTATTTGAGATGCTGCGTACTGGCGCCACCAAGCACAGAGCACTCTGCGTGAGAAGCTGGCAAAACCGCTTCTGACAGGAAGAGCGAGGAACGTGATCATGTTTTTAGGAGACGGACTTTCTATTCCAACCTTGGCCGCTGCTAGAACGTACCTTGGCCAGTCACAGGGACAAACGGGCGAGGAAACAGTCCTTTCCTTCGAAGCATTCCCCCACACAGGTCTCTCAAAGGTGAGAAATTTGAAAAATTCAAATAACTGAGCGTAATAAACAAATACTGCACAAATAACTTTAACAACACACTCCTCTTACTTTGGGAGTCGACATAACTCGGTATAGCGACGAAGTACGGCCTGAAAGACCTATGTTAAATTCCCAGTAGGGACAAATTTTTCATCTTCTATGGTGTCCAGACCGGCACTGGGGCCCACCCAGGTCCGGCTGTAAAGCGGCCGGGGCGTGAATCTGGTCAGTCACCTACTTCCAGTGCCGAGGTCAAGAATGCTGCAGATATATCTCTACACCCCATACGCCTTCATGGCATAGCGCTTAATTAATCAAGCACAGGGAACAGTTCATTCATTTTAATTTCAGTTACTTCACAACGAAGTTAGTACAGCGCTCTCCTCGTTTTTTAAGAGAAGTTTTGAAGCGAAGAGTTCAGTCTTCTGAGATATAATACGGTGTATTCGTTTGAAAGTCAGCCAGCATTTCCGAGGAACACGTCGCCTCAATCTTCAGCGCTGAAGAACAATCCAAATAACAAGCCTGCTTGAAGAAGGTACTAAGTTTCACCAGACTACAAAACATTACGTCCCAGAAGATAGAACTCTTCATAACGACCCCTGTGAGAACTCCAAACCCTGCAAATTTTGAGATATGTTTGCTCATGTGACGTAATGTTCTCACAGGGGTGAAGATTCAGATGTTGGTACTCTGGGTACAGAGAACGTGCAGTATGGCAGGTGGTTCGCAGCCTTCACGGTATGTTGAAAACGGTGGCAGAGGTGGTGTTCCTTCGAAGCTTTGGTAACCATTTACCACATTACAAGATACCCAAACCCAGAGAAACAAGATCTAAACGTATTCTTGCCGTTAGATTTTATGAATCAAGATATTCTCCGAGACTGTGTTCTGTAGAGAATTGTGTGGGATAAATTACAAATATGATGGGTTCGTGCGTTACATAAATTATTGTCACGTTGTGTGACGTACTTGAAGGAAAAGAATACACAGAACTGAGAAGATATTACACCTGTAACATCATTCCATGATACTTTCTCTTGCCAATTTACAGATTTGAGCTTTTCGCAAACTAATTATAACTCTGTAACTATTTTCCGTGCCATTCGTGAAGGTTCCCATACTGTAATGTCAGATTTAATTTCGTTCGCAGACCTACTGTGTGGACAGTCAAGTTGCAGACTCTGCGTGCAGCGCCACGGCCTACCTGAGTGGCATAAAGGCTAATATTGGCACCATCGGAGTGACGGGAAATGTGAAATTGAATGACTGTCCGGCCATGCTGGAAGCGGCTAACAGAGTTACTTCTATCCTGAAGTGGTCGCAGGTGAGATCATTCACATTTCATTACAATGGAATGTGGCAACATTTGGTCGATCGTTTTATTTTAATAACAGCAAAACAAAAACAAACTCCGTGGTTTCAGTCCGCAAGCGAACTGTACCGACCGAGCGACCGCTGCTTGTCGCCGAAGTTAGTGGCAACTTTTGCGGATAGAGTGTGTCGCGTGGTCAGAGCAACGAATCCCCCCGGCCGTTAATTTCGGTTTTCTAGACCTGAGCCGCTATTTCCTTGAAATATCTCATTTTTCCTCACGAGACTTAGTGGACCCCGTTCCAGATCCACTACTTCTCAGAAAATCTGGCAAGTCCGGGAATCGAACCCGGACCTTAGGATCTGTAACCAGAAACTTTGACCACTATACCACAGAGGCGGTCCTTTTAATAATAGCTTCCAAAGTAATTCAAAATAATTTAATTCGGAGAAGTTCATGGAGGTAGGCCTAGGCCCACTGGGACTGTAGTGCCTAGGAAAAGAAAAAGTAATTCAATTAAGTTCGTTTACAAAGTGTCTGGCAACAACTATAAGCCAATTAAAAGTAAGCACTGGAGAAAGAAAATACATTAATAGAGAAGATGTGAACAAACACTGAAATAATATTAATATATATATATTTTTTTCACGATCTTAAGTGAATAGACACGGTGTTCGGATTGGTAATTGGACTTATTGGATTCTTACAAACCGTAACTACAATTAATTGTATAGTTATCACTAATTCATACACTCTACAATTTACTACATTACAGTTAATTCTCAGTCTGTTGTGTTTTTACCAGTCGTTGCTTGGCAACGGCTCTCGAAGCCGTAGATTCATCAGCTTCCGGGATCACGTACTTACTGGCCGGCAACTGTCTCACAACTCTGTAAACCCAATGGTGTTCTCGTTAAAGAGCCTTCTCACGGACCGTATAGAAAACACCGTTTCCAACATTTCCTATATTGTTGCGTATGTAGACTTTGCCAAGATATGTTTAGTTAGCCGTTGCATCGCAACGGCATTCTCATTTTAGCTCCACTATTCTGGTCTTTTCAGCCATCACGTTAAAGTATATCTAACATATATATTGTTTATAAATAGCCAACTTACCAAAAAGAGCTGCGCCCTTCTTGAGAAGCCGCCAGGTGTGCAGATACTCAAGGATTTCCCAACATTTTATGGAAACTGAAGGTTCAGTACCATCTTCAAAATAGTCCTCCACTGGTTCCTATATTCAGAACCCATCCTCTCTCTCACTCTCTCTCTCTAAGGTCCATTTTAATGCTGTCCTTCCGTCTATGTCTAGTTCTTCTTGTCGGTCTCTTTCCTTATGACTTTCCCACCAAAACCATACAAGCATTCCTCTTTGCCACCATGCATACTACTTTCCCTGCAATATTTATGAATAATATCCATTTCTAAATGTATATTTGACGTAAAGCGGTAGGAAAACAGAACTTCGAACGAATGGGCTTATTTTGTAAACCAACATCTATCATAGAAATTACAGGCTCTAGAGAATGCCTATCTATTTTCATTTTCCATTCAAATAAGGGGCACGAGGTAGCGTAGTTAGTTGAGGCACTATGCTACAAGCCGGAAGATCGTGTGTTTGATTCCCGACGTCAGTGGACTTTTTAATTGACTTAATCCTTCCAGCCGCACTATGGCCCTGGGATCGACTCAGCCTGTAACAGAAATGAGTACCACGGGTCTTCCTGGTGGTAAATTGGGGCCAGAGCCTAAGGCTGACAACCTCACCGCCACCTGTAAGCTGATTTTCTAGAATATATGGAAGCCTAGACGTCTCACATTCAACAACGTCTCCATTTAATCACACTAAAAGTATCTGGCGAAAAGTAGGCATAATAAATTATGGAGCTACACATTGTGAAATTTCCTGCGGCCTCCATGACATCGCCCTTGAAACAAAATATTCTTCTTTTCACTTTATTCTCCTATATCCCTAATCTATGCTCTTTTCATAATGAGAAACAATATTTTTCACACCCATACAGAACCATGGGTAAAGTTCCTCTACTGCAAACCCGTCTGTAAATACATGATTTGTTGCAGGACGCTGGTAAGTCTACGGGAGTGGTGACAACGACGCGCATCACGCATGCGTCACCCGCCGGTGCTTATTCTCAGACCGCCAACAGGAACTGGGAGAACGATGCTGAAGTCAAGAACTCCGGCCAGGACCCAAACAAGTGCGACGATATCGCGAAACAACTAATCACCAGTCTCCCCGGCAGAAATATAAAGGTACTGTAGGGATAGCTCAGTCGGTATGGCGACGGCCTACGAGCTGGAAGGTCGGGGTTAGTTTCTTAGGAGGCCAACGGATTCATAGTGCCCAGACCGATTCTGTAACTCACCCAGTCTCCTACACAAATGGTACACAGAATTCTTTCCTCAGGTGTGAAGCGGCTGGAACGTGAAGCTTACCACTCACCTCCGTCTAATACAGAGTCAAAGAATGCTGGAACTATACCACCACTCCTCCAAAAGTTGTTATATCATAGTACTGAATTAATTAGGCATATGAACAAATTAACCTTTATCGTGACTGAAGGCTTCATCAAGAGTAAGTCATATCAGTTGGCATGTCAGCGGCGTGTCAGAAAAAGCATAGGTCTCTTCTGTATCACTAATCGCCAATAGATTCCACATGCAACAACCAGTATTGTTGTTGACATTAAGTAAAATAACAACATAACTCCATCAGTACAGTTCTGCAGTTGCAATAACAGATGTAATATTTAAACTGAAGACTGCTAGTGGAAAATTCTAAAGCAAAGGTTGGAAATGTTTTCCTGCTGATATCTCATTATTTATTGAATGAAATAATTTACTGCATCATGCTTGCCAACATTATTGTCAGTCACTCATGGAGCTGATCCCTCCTTAAGAAGCCGCCAACTGTGCATCTACTCAAGAACGTACCAGCATTTTATGAAACCCGAAGGTTCATTACCGTGTTTTCAAGACCCCTCCACTGGTTCCTATCTTGAGTCAGATCAATCAAATCCATACCAACCCATCCCATATCTCTAAGATACATTTTAATATTGTCTACTTACCTACGTTTTGGTCTTCTCATTTGTCTCTTTCCTTCTGGCTTTTCCACCAATATCCTATATGAATTCTTCTCCCAATTCGTGCTACATGCTCTGTCCAGCTCATCCTCCTTGACTTTATCATTGTAATTATACTTGGACAAGAATACAAGTTATGAAGCTCCTCATTATGCAGTTTTCTCCTACCTCCTGTCACTTCATCTCTCTTCGGCCCAGATTTTCTCCTCTGCACCCTGTTCTCAAACGCCCTCAGTACTTATTTATTGTAATTTATTTACTCTAAGCAATGTATAGACAGATGAACCACAAAAAATCTATACTTAGCGTTCTTCCGCCATTTGCTTTTACTGTCCTCTTATTCGTTAAGGTGGCTTTGATATTCATGTGACTAACACCATCTTTTGGGAGAACATCACACTACACACCGTACATAACTTTTCAGTTCAAGTTTAAAGATATCCATAGATAACCTCTATTAACATTTGTATTCAATTGGCCCCCCCCCGTAGTTACACTGATATAACAGCAGTATTTCTGCTTGATGAAGGTTTGCCAACTTACTGAATTTAATTAACGTTCTGTTTTCAAAACTACTGTAACAACTTCAGTCTTCACATGACACAATTATATAACATATATAGTTACTAATTTATTATAATAAATTTATATGAGTACGACAGCTGGTGACCCGTCTGTTCTCTTCATCCGAAATTCTGTGTCGTAGAAAATATTAAGTATAAGAAACTTTTTTCCCAACTCCGTTGCTTTAGTCCGCAAGCAAACTATACGGACCGAGCGATCGCCACTTGCAGGCGAAGTTAGTGCCAACTTTAGCGGATAGAGAATGTCACGTGGTCAGCGCAAGGAATCCCCACGGCCGTGTTACGTTCAAGTAACCGCCAGGAAAACAGAAATATGTTTTGCGCGTGCGCAGTACTCATTTCTGAAACTGCTCTCTCTTGTTGTAAGATAAAGATTAATACTTATTAAAATATGTTCCATTCTTTTCGTCCAAACAGCCTGATAGACAAAACGTACACTGCCACACTTCAGAATTTAACAATTTTACATGTAGATTATAAACAATGTCGTATTTTGGGATGTGGCTCCGTGTACATCTTGTGTGAACCGAGGTTTCGGAGGAACGTTCCTCCGAAACGTCGGTTAAAATAAGATCTACACGGCGCCACATAGCAGAAGACGATATTCTTCATAGTCACTGGCGTGAAATCTCAAATCTTACATGTAGATTATAATTTATTGCAGTTTACCTCTCGGTATCCTCGAACGCAGAGCCATTTCAAATTGTACCGCCTCTCGTAATTACTGTACCCTGTTCTATAAGTTTCACCAGCAAATGCAACTGCAGTTAGCCTGTTCACATAAACATGCATACATGCATCCATATTCATATATGAGCAGCGAGTATTTTTTTTGCTTTGTGGGGGTGTGGAGTCCAACTGGGTCCACTCAGCACGGCGGTCACTGATTGGCCTATTGTACTTGCCCTGGGTGATTATGATGACGGAGAATTTGGTGGAATGAAGATTGGCAGGGGAAATCGAAGTACTCGGAGAAAACCCGCCCCAGCGTCACCTTGTCCACCACAAATCCCACTTGACTAGACCAAAAATAGGACCCGGGCCGCCACGGTGGGAAGCCAGCGACTAACCGCTTGAGCTATGGCGCGGCCTTGAACAGCGAGTAAGTTATAACAGCATTTTGGATTAATGCTTTTCTAATCCCATTCGAAGATCGGATACTCTCCCTATTTTCCTGCAGAAAATAGTGTCATTTCCTCTCAATCTGACTCGATGTAGAATAATCAATGAAACTGATATAACATCATTAAACAACATTGGGTACAAGGCAGCACAAAAAAGAAGGGAAATAAATTTGAACCCCTGGGATATTTAGGCAGTAACTTTAGGCCTATTGACTGAAATGTCACGTCTCTCTCTAACAAATTAAATAATTCCACATACCTGAGTCTCTCTCGAATTGCTCAGCTATTCAAGGAACGACCAGCATGGAATCCTAAGTTATTTTGTTCACTAAACCCGCCACTATGCCGAGCCACAGCTCAAGCGGTTAGTCCCTGGCTTCCCACCGCGACGGCCAGGGTTCGATCCCGGCTCTGGTCAAGTGGGATTTGTGGCGGAGAAAGTGGCGCTGGGGCAGGTTTTCTCTGAGTACTTCGGTTTCCCCTGCCAATCTTCATTCCACCAATTGCTCCACAATCACCCTCACCTATCATCTGGGGCTGGTACAATAGGCCAGAAGTGGCCGCAGTGCAAGGGACTTAGTCGCACCCCACTAGCAATAAAAATAATGCCACTAGTCCTTATCCTATGCCAGGTGAATCCATTAATCGATTCTGTCTTACCATCCTTTCCTAGGTCCTCCAGGAGCCTCGTTCCTACAGGTTTTTCTATCAAAATATCACTCGACCTTCTAAAACTTCTGCTGTTTAAGGGTGACCTAGCACTACTCTCATGAACGAAAGCATTCGTAAATACACATCCGAGCTTCATTCCGCTTGTGAGATTATTGGACTTAAAATTCAGCAGAAGATGTAAACGCGTTAGTTCAGGTTAATATTCTTGTATGCCTTCTCCCTGAACTACGTAACACAGGTTACTATTTTTGTTTTTCGTAAAAATTATATATTTTTTCCCTTGGCACTACAGCCCCAGTGGGCCTAGGCCTGCCTCCATGAACTTCTCCGTTCACTTCGGTCTCTAGATCTTACACATTCGGTAGGACTCCTTGGGCGGGTGATCAGCTCGTCTCAAGGCCTCTACCTGTACACAAACACAGAAAAACGCACACACACAAACTAAACATCCATGCCCTGAGTGGAATTCGAACCCACGATCCCGGTTTTCAAGCGAGCGAAGACAGTACATGCCTTAGACCGCTCGGCTACCGTGACCGGCAACAATTATATTACGATGGTGAATTCAAAGAAGGCGATATGGGCTAGACGTGTATTCTGCTTTGAAAACAAAACAAACGCGTACAGAGTTTTGGTGGGAAAACCAGAAAGAAAGAGACCGCTTTGAAGACTTAAAAACTCGGAGAGGAAGATATTAAAATTGATCTTGAATCAGATGGAAAGGTGCAGGCTGGAATCATCTGACCCAGGTTCGGGACAATGGCGAATCACTTGTACACACAGCAATTAATCTTTCGATTCCATAAAGTTCTCGGATTTGTTTTAGCTATGTGAGCAACTATTGGCTTCTGAAGGCAGACGCCACACCGTGTAGTTAGATAGTGTGAGTTTGTCACAGGTGATACTGGGAGGTGGTCGCAAAGAATTCCTGCCGACGAACGCAACAGACGAAGACGGCAAACGCGGTGCCCGAACAGACGGCCTGGATCTGATTGCCGAATGGAAATCGGATAAGAGGAGACGCAGGGCTAGTTTCCAGTACGTCTGGAACAGGGAGCAACTGCTCAGGGTTAATCCCGAGAGGAAGGACTTCGTGCTCGGTGAGTAGTCGTACAGATGTTGGTTTGTCACTGTGTGAAGAGACAACCACTTATTAAACTGTTATGTAAATGAAAAAAAAACAGTCTTCTGGGATATGGTGTCGTCTAGATGTTGTGTTAACAGACGTTTCGTAGGAACGTATCGCCTCCATCGTTCACGCTGGTTCTTCGCTTGCGGATTTTCTCTTCTTTTTTCTTCTACCCTGAAGATGGAGGCTATATGTTCCTCCGAAACGTCTGTTAGCACAATATCTAGACGACGCCATATCCCAGAAGATTATTTTCTTCATAGTCACCGCCGTGAAAACCTAAAATATTATGTAAATGTTTACTGTATTTACACAGAATATACAGACGAACTTGTGTTTGAAGACTTTAAAGTCGCTGGTTGCTGATAAGCTGGGTGAAGGTCTCTCTCCAAGTCCACGTCCAAGTCACATTGCGACTGACGGTCGGTCAGTCAGTCTGTCTGTCGAGGCTCATGGTCCGATTTTTTTTTTTGCTTTCTTTTTCCTTATATGAAAGTTACTCTCCTGTCCATTTGGGGCGCCCTCTCTGACGAGAGGTCGGGTCTGTCATTTGTCAGTCATAGTCCGTATTAATAAGTCCATTATTAGTACTTACATATATTTACAATTTAATATTAATTCCTAATTCCTTGTACATTATATACAAGGCCTCTGGCTCAGTACAGCAGATTATGCCCTATTTCTTGTAGTCTCTCTCTGGCTTATATATTAGCCCACCTTGTGTAGTCTCGCTCCGACCTTGTAGTGAACACCTGTTTCGCCTCTTTGGTTACTGCGTTCTGCTGAACCTCTTACATGCAGAGGCGATTTTTAGTCATTACATATCAGTGATAATTGTGCTGTAGGTTTTACCTAGGGATGGATTGTTTCTTCAAGGAAAGGATCTCCTAGGAGACGTGTTTATCGGGCTGTTGCTTAGCAATGGATGGTTTCTACAATGTGATTGGCTAGCACTTGAATCAATGTGCGCAGTTTCCATATAGTAATATATTCATGTAATTTCATATTTTGTTATAAACATTAACTAATACACTCATTCATTTTCACGGATTTATCTAAAAACAAGCCTCAATAACACAATATAATTGTTTATTTTTATATCATATTTATTGCTTATAATCAGATTACAGTATTGATATTTAATATACTTAGATTCAGGGAACGTTATAAAATTTTAGCAGAATGTATGAATATATGTAAATGTTGGTGCACCGTAAGATCGGACGCTGAACTGTAATTACTTACTTAACATTACTTTTAGAATCAAATAGCGACAAAGTTTGTATGGCGATAATTCTTGTGAATATCAAATATAATTATTAAAACATTACTCATATTGTAAGATTTGAGACTTTCACGGCGGTGACTATGAAGAAAGCGGTCTTCTGAGATTTGGCACCGTGTATATGTGGTGTTAACCGACGTTTCGGAGGAACGTATCGCCTCCATCTTCAGGGTAGAAGAAAAAGTATAAGAAATCTGCAAGCGACAAGACCGTGAGAACGGTAAAAGCAGACTGTGACTCTTCTACCCTGAAGATGGAGGCGATACGTTCCTCCGAAACGTCGGTTAACACCACATATACACGGTGCCAAATCTCAGAAGACCGCTTTCTTCATTACTCATATTGTTCCTTAGCGACTAAACAGCCGTTAACTTGGATCTCTTTATGCATTACAATTTATATATTCTCTCAGCAGCCACCAAATAAGTAGGTTAGGAGGGAATGTGGGAGACAGAAGGATTTATGTTAAACATTTTCCCTTCTCTTAGGTTTGTTCAATAGTGACCACTTGGAATACCATTTGTTGGCTAACACGACCAAGGAACCCACCCTCGAGGAACTTACTAGATTTTCCATCAGAATTCTAAGAAAGGAACCCAGGGGCTTCTTCCTCTTTGTCGAAGGTAAGTAAACGTTATATTTGTGTATGCAGAACGCACAGTGCATTGACTTTGTTATCAGACACCATTGCAGTAGTATGCTTATTGAGTTCTTCGCAGATCTTAAGTAAATTAAGACAAAAAAAAAAAGAAGAAGAAAAAAAAGAAAACCTAAGTTGCCAGCATGTCTGCCATTAAGCCGTGTAGTACGATAGAAGTCACCTGACGTTTCGGGGGACGTACGACCCGTGTCTTCAGGCCATAAGAAATAGGAAGCAAGTAGCAAGCCCTCAGCTTCAGGATTGCTTTGTTTACTCTTTGATCCTGAAGATGGATGCAATACGTTCTTCCTAAACGTCAGTGAACTTTTACCGGACTATACGGCATCACACCCTAGTAGGCAGTATACTTCATAATCACGCTTTGAGAATCTCAGATACGTTGATAATTTTATTTATTATCTAGCATAATATCGCCATTTAAAACAGGTGGACGTATTGATCACGGCCACCACGACACGAAAGCACATTTAGCCCTGGATGAAACAGTGGAATTTGCGAAAGCCATAAAGGCAGCAACAGACATGACGCGTGAAGAGGAAACCCTGATTGTCGTCACAGCCGACCATGCACATACCCTGAGCATCAGTGGTTACCCCGCTCGCGGAAACGACATCTTCGGTAAGTGTGACTACAGATTAGAAAGTCACCCCATTTCTTGCAACTTCTGCTCGTAATGTGTCAGACAGGTACACGGAGAAAGGGGTACGACTTTTCTCCGCGACTTTGGTAACATTCTGCGGAACCATATACTGTCATAACCCACATCACTACAATGTATGTAATGCCTACAGCAAATTACAGTTTCTCCGAATATACACGCCATCAAAAATGGAAATCCCTTTTCAGCAAAGATGAAAACTGTAATGCCTACTGAACCATAGGTACCTCTCGCTGTTGCTTAGTGGTGTTGTACGTAACTATTGTAGCACATAAGGTGACGACTCATAAGAAGCTTTATCAATAATATTTTATCTTCCTTCCTACAAAATGGATCCTGTATTGGCATTCTATATATCTTAGTACACAGATTTCCACTCGATATGCCACATTTTAACTCCTTCCGATTTTTCCAGTAATTTATTTTATATATTGGACAAACTTTTAATTAGGATTAAAAATTACAATATATGCTGCAAGGCTTCCAAGATGAGTTTGTAAAATTCTGGATCTATTTTATAGTTGAAATTTGAAATGTCAGAGGAAACGTTGATATCCTTCCCGATTTAGCAATTTTTTAAATCGCGTGCTCAGAATAATTGTCGAAATCTAGGTTTCGGAGTCAGCTGGCTGTTGAGCAATTAATGTCAGCGTATTATTGGCAGTTCACCTAAGGCAGCGCGTTTGAGGTAAAATACGCCTTATTGAAAACGAATTAACTTTTTCAGAGAAATACGAGCAGCCATATTTGTATAAACCATTCTTTTGGAGGGATGAGAATTATCAATAAAAAAAATGGATGCATAATATCTCAGTTGGTATATAGATTGAGCTATGAGCAGGAAAGCTGAGAAACTGGGATTAGATTCTTGCAGAGTTGTGTGGATTTAACTTTTCAGCAGATGATCCATACAGGCTCTGACATACAACCAGCTTCCTCTCCAATGAGGAAGGCTATTTCATTGGTGGCAATACGGCTGGGGCGTTAAGTTGAACACTCACTGTTACTGATGTTAAGAATCCATGGAGCTGTATTTCCCAATATATCTTCTTGGCATGATGATTAATTAAGCCCAAGAACAACTCATAAATTTTAATTGTCTTGACCGCCTCTGTGGTATAGTGGTCAGAGTTTCTGGCTCAGATTCAGAGTTCCGGTTTCGATTCCCGGAGCTACAAGATTTTCAGAGAAATAGTGGGTCTGGAACATTCAGCCTCGTGAAAATAATTGAGGAGCTATTTCAAGGAAATAGCGGCTCCGGTCTAGAAAACCGAAATTAGCGGCCGTGGGGATTAGTTGCGTTGACCACGTGACACCCTCTATTCGCTAAAGTTGGCACTAATTTCGCCGACAAGCGGGGGTCGCTCGGTCGGTATAGATCGCTTGCGGACTAAAACCACGGAGTTTGTTTGTTTAAACTGTGACATAGCTTAATGTGAGGCACAATTTTATTTCAGAACACTAGCTAAATTTTATATTTAACTCGCTCATTTTGTTTTAGGTATCTCTGGGAAATCTGATGTTGATAAACTCCCATATTCAACCATTTCTTACGCCAATGGCCCAGGATACAAACAACCGCTACCGAATGGCTCCAGGTATAACATTTCCCAGGACAACCTAGGTAGGTATACCTGACATATTTTACCTAATATTACAGTGAAATTAATCGTTTCATATCATGTTTTAAAGCAATGATATTGCCGTATTGCACTTCCTAGTACTCTATAAGTGAAGTGAGATAATTCTGGAATAAATTTTCATTTAGCTTACCGACAAACTTAAGTTACCAAATTTCAAATTATATTACTCCTTTAAACCGTTTTAATTAAAGCATAAACGTGTTAATGAGTGTTAATTGAGAATTTAAATAAATAAATTGGCAAAATAATCATGCATATCTTTTGGAATAAATTTAAATTAAAAAGTGGATTTCTTTTAGTCTTAAATTTCTTGGTGGTACTGACAAAGAAAGACGTTAAATTTTTACGTAAATTCTGAGGTCTACGCAAATTGCGCAGCCGCTGTAGAACAGTACAAACACAAACACAGATCGTGTGTTCGTTGCTTGGTGTTACGCATGTAGAACATTTTACTATAGACACTCCGTGATGTGGTTTTGTGTTATTTTCACAGCGGATGTTAATTACAAGTTCCCAGCAACGTTGCCTCTGAGTAGCGAGACCCATGGAGGAGATGACGTCGCAGTGTTTGCCAGAGGGCCTTGGAGTCATCTGTATGCGGGCACATTTGAGCAGAACTTCATTCCCCACGTCATGGCCTACGCCTCTTGTGTTGGCAATGGGCGAACAGTATGCGACGTGTACAGGCCTTATTAATAAAGTATTATTCTTGTTCCACGATAGTAAGCAAGGTGTGTTGAACATAATGTTCTATGTAAAAATTATCCTAAATATGAACTACATGATACACAATAATACATTTTGTTTATATACCCATAACTAACTAAGGCAGCGTCTACACGAGCGCACAAAATACGTTCGTTGTAACGAACGTCGTGACGTCCGTTGTAGAAATAAACAAAAGAAGCAAATGCTACGTTTTCTTCTGGCACCATTGCAGACCAAAAACTACGCACCGCATTCAGCAACTGTGCGGTGTCCTCAGCAGCGTCCTCAGCAAAGTACGTACGTTACAATAGACGCATTTTGTGCGCTTGTGTAGACGCTGCCCAACTAACTCTATGAAGCTTGAGCACTTCTTGAGAAGCTGCCAGTTGTGCAACTACTCAAGAATTTCCGAATATTTTATGGAGCCTGAAGATTCATTTAATATCGTGTTTACTGGTACCTATCCTGAGCAGATTAATCCAGTCCACACCATCCTATTTGACCTCTCTAAGATCGATTTTAATATTATCCACCCACCTACGTCTCGGTCTACTTAATGGTCTCTTTCCTTCTGACTTTCATAAAAATATCCTATGTGCATTCTTCTTAATACCCACTCCCTGTCCATCTCAATCTCCTTAACTTACTCATTCTAATTATACTTAGGGAAGAGTACAAGTTATGAAGCTCCTCATTATGTAGTTTTCTCGAACCTCCTGTCGTTTTATCTCTCTTCGGTCCAAATATTCTCAACATCCTGTTCTCAAACATCCTCAGTCTATGTTCCTCCTTTAACGACAGAGACCAAGTTTCAGACCCATACAGAACCACGGGCAAAATTATAATTCTGTATATTCCAATATTTACGTTTTTAGACAGCAGACGAGAAGGCAAGATATTCCGTACCGAATGTTGGCCAGCTTTACCAAATTCGATCTCCTTTCAATTTCTTCCAGAATCGGGCTTTCATTTGTTGTTTCCAGATATTTGAACTCTTCCACATTTTCAAAGCACCTATTAGCTATCTTTATGCCACGATTTGCCCTACATTTTGGTGACGAGACAGCAACATATACTTAGTTTTCTCTGCGTTTATATCTAGAACAAACCCCTTACTATGGTCAGTTAAGGTTTGTGTGTTTTCTTCGTGGTTTTTAGAATCATAATGAAGATAATGCTTGTATTAAAACATATAATTAGTTGTACTGTTAATTATTTTCTTTAAAAATATTCAACAAAAACAAAATGTAACAAAATTTCCACCACTTTCACAAAATCACATTACTCACCCTTAGGAGCGCCACTTTGTCCACCACAAATTCCACTTGACCAGACCCGGGATCGAACCGGGGCCGCCGTGGGGAGAAGCCTGCGCCTAATCCCTTGAGCTATGGCGCGGGCCCATAACAGTAGCTAACTCAGGGTGTTCAAACCACATATTAAATACAGGACATACATAAGTGAGTATAACTAGCGCCATGAAAATATTGAAAATAGAGGGGGGAAAAAAAGTAAAACATCTCAACACACTGGAGAAATTATATATATATAAGCCAAGTAAAAACGGATTGCGGTTGAACGTCATATACATCGATACACGTAACCCAGTATGCAAAGTAATACAAGATTTAAACAACAGATAGCGACCAAAACACATTATAAAAGGGAACCCGTTTAACCCAGCGGACCATTCAGGAACAAGACACGCAACGAAAAACATGACAGGGAGGCCCAGAACGCAGCAACCACAGTGAGTACACAAGTGAATAACCACACCATACGTAAAGCACTTCACTTACATGAATTCTAATAGAAAATTGACACGCGTTACAGACACGCTCACACGCATCAGAGGGGTTGCGTATGCATCAGCAACAAGTGAAAGCAGCCATTTCCTCATTATATATATTTTTAATACCCGATGATGGCCATGTTGGCCGAAACATGTAGTGTATTTTAGAAACTTAAACTTTTAAAATTGAAATTGTGATAAATTTTTTAGAACACAGTGTTGCACGTAAGTCGGTGAATGATCGACGCAAGTTCTGTTTCCAGGCTGAATACTGTAGGACAACACCACCACTACGCTTTCCACGTGACACTTATTTATTCACAATATTGTCGTAATAGTGGAATTTCAGTCCCCATGCGTCTTGCATAAAATATGTGTGCACACAACGCAAAATTAAAGTATAAAATTTACTCAGATTAATCATACTTAAGACCGAACTTCGTGATCGAAAGCTTAAGGCTCATACATAGTTTTATTCAAGAAGTCCTGGATTCAAATCTGTGTCTGTCTTATGATTTATGTTCGTGTGGTTTCCCCACTCTCTCCAGGCCAATGACGGAAGAGTACCACAAATTAGACCGTATCTATTTTCTTTAGTAATATCTCTAAATAATTATTCACAAATCGCTGTTTCATTCGCCGCTACATATTCTGAATGCGTTGAGAAATAAACCGTAAGTAATATAAATACGTACAAGTAAGAAATCGCATAGATATATTAAAAGTATTATCATTTACATAGTGTTAGTGAACTTGTTAACTTTTACTCTTCTCCAAGTACGTATAATTAGAATGATCAAGTCAAGGAGGATGAGGTGGGTAAGGAACGTAGCACGAATGAGGAAGATGAGGAGTACATATATAATTTGGTGGGAAAGCCAGAAGGAATGAGACAACTGGGAAGACCAAGGCGTAGGTGGGTGGACAATATTGAAATTGATCTTAGAGAAATAAGATGGGATGGTATGGATTGGATTGATCTGGCTCAGAATAGGGACCAGTGGACGGCTCGCATTTCTTCAAATGCTACCATGTATAAATGTCTTTCTTATTCAAACGCTGTGTCTTATAGGCATCCATATTGTTCTACGAAATGCAGCAATATTCCCTACGATGATCCGTCTTTAACAAACGAATAGAGATGAAATTCAACAAATAGAGTCTTAGTAATAAAGCTCAGGAGGATGACGCTGGTAGGGTAAGTTGCACACATATGAGAGAATACAATTTGAGTGGGGGGGGGGGGAGAAAGGAAAAAGACCACTAACAAGAACTAGAAGTATGTAGGAGGACGGTAGAAAAATAGGTTATAGTGGTATGGACTGGATTTATCTGCCTCAGGATACGAACCACTGGTGAGCTCCTATGAACACGGCAATGAACCGTCGGTTTCCATAAAATGGAGGAAAATATTTTAGTAGTAGAGCAGTCGGTAGCTTCTCAAGAAGGGCTAAGCTCTATAACGTTAGTCAGTTAGGAGATATAAGATTATTTCTCTCGGTAAAGTAAGGTTATGTTTGACCAACACGAACCGAAGCAGGAGTTACAAATCAATTGTACGCCTAAATACGAGGGCAAGTCTGTAAATAAGTCAAAATGGATATACGAGTAAAACGTAAAATATTTGATATTCCAACCGGAAACACTGATACACTTCTCACACCGCTTTACCATTGAGTCGAAACCCACAGCATAAAAGCTTTTTACTGCTGTCTCAGCCACTTCCGCACCTCAGCTTCAACCTCTTTGTCATCAGCGAAACTTTTGCCACTTTTCTCGACCAAGTTGTGAACCACTTTATGCAACAAACACTTCCCACTATAGGAAACATTTCTTTATGAACAGCCTTTCCATTGAGTCTTTTGCAGAAAAGAAAGCATCACAGAAGGCTGCTCTTCGGTAGTACATACTCAAGCACAGTCGTCATTTTGACTACTAAAAGCAGTCTCTGAACATGCGCATGCGCCCGCTACCCAGACTGTCACGAAACTGGATTGTGCTGCTACCTAATGATAAAAAGGTAAAGCAAAGTTGTCCCTGTTCTTAACTAATTAAGCACTACAACATGAAAGCGTACAGGGGAGTGGATGTATAGATCCACATTTTCTTGATCTCGGCACAAGCTGGAGGTGAGTGGTCAGCTTCACGCCCCGGCCGCTTTACCTAGGAGATAGAGCTCCCGGTACCCGTTGGATAGGAGATTAGGTGGACCCCAGAGCTGGTCTGGACGACGTGGAGAGAAAATTCTTGATCCTACCGGAACTCGAACCCCGAACCCTCAGTCGTCCAGTGATACACATATAAAACCTATTACGTTGGTTATAGATGTTTTACTTCCATTTGTGAACTATTTACTGACTCCATCGTATAATATCAAATATAATTGAAATCGTTCAACCAGTTTCGTAGATAAGACATTCAGACGGAAGGACAGGAACATGCCTCATATTACATATCCATTCCATTCACTCAGTGCGAAAGCGCATTGCGTAATCACATTAATCATTATTACAGGATTTACAGAGTTCGACACCCAATAATATAATTATGTTTCAGAGGTGGACTGTAGTTTGATGTCCTAACACGATTAAATGTCTCAAACAGATCAACATTCCAGGAAGTAAATAATAGGCCTATGACTAATGCGTTGATATTATTCTAGACAAACACATAGTTATGCCACACGTAATTATGTCAAAAACATGTGATTAATTATCATCATTAAGCCGATGGGTATATTCAGATATTATGCAGCAGGCATGCTGTTCTTTCACATTCTACAAACAAATTACCTTTCAAACGTCGCATATTTCATAGATCTATTATCATATTACAAAATATTCTGTATGGATACGGGGTCGAATTACCTCCACCGTAGGCCCTGCGAGTTGTAGGAGGTGACGAAAAAAGAAGTATCGAATCTGAGACAGCAAAATATGGTCGCGAGTCCCTTGGGACTCGGACCAGAAATTGACTACGCTGGCGAAGGCCAGGGGCAATTGTAAATGAAAGACCCATCCTCTCGTCAGAGAGAGCGCCCCACATCAATAAACACGCAATTGTGTGACAGCAATACAAATCTGGTCGTAAGCCAGAGATAGGTGCTTTATTCCAAGATACACTGACCGACTGACCGACTGACCGCCGGTCGTAATATGAGACTCAGACTGATATTACCAAGACATGACATTAAGAGCAGATTATGTATTTTCCAGTTCACAGTTCATACACAATAACATTATTATTGTAGGCAAATGATAATTAAGAGGATGATGTGGTTTCTAA